GAGAGAGAGAGAGAGAGAGAGAGAGAGAGAGAGAGAGAGAGAGAGAGAGAGAGAGAGAGAGAGAGAGAGAGAGACAGACCCGACAGACAAATTCAGAATTGTTCCCGTCAGCTCAGAAATCTACATTACAAGCAAGCATCCCGACCCTTGAAAATCCCTGCTTTCCACCTCCCCTCCCCTCCGGCTTTTCGGCAGCAACGTCAATTGCAACCTCCAGCTCATCCGCGGCAAAACCGCCTCAGTTGCACACGATCAGCTCAATACACCTACCTGCAGATCGCTCGTTGGACCTCCTTTACGAGCCACCATCACCGCACGAATATGGAATTCCAGTCTGGTATTACTCTCCAACGGTGCTCTTGAGCTCCTGTTCTGCGGCCAGCCTAGGATGCCTGTTGTCGAGAGGACGAGGACGAAACAGGCACTAAGGTAGAAAAGATGACCGCGCGCGCGCGCGCGCGCGCGCGAGAGAGAGAGAGAGAGAGAGAGAGAGAGAGAGAGAGAGAGAGAGAGAGAGAGAGAGAGAGATGACAGCGTCGCAATGCACAACGACAAAAAAATTCTCAAGTGTTGTGCATGAAAACGAGCAACAGGCAGGTCTGTGAGAGACGAAGGGATCGGAAAGGAGACAACTTCGAGGTGCATATGCGGCTGAGAGATGACGGTCGGAGATCAGGGGGTTGTCTGTCGCGGTCCTGCGGATCATCTAGCATGGGTACATCAAACTGAAAAACGAGTCCCACACAGAGCAGCAGCAACGGTAGAGTGGAAGAGAGCGAAAGGAAAGAACACAAGGGATCAACAAACGAACGAGTCCCACACACACAAATAGAGAGAGAGTCCCTGCACATCCCGTGGAAGAGACAGCCACCTCACCACCACTCCAATTGCCTATCTAGTCCAGAACTTAGACGCGGGGCGTTCGGACATGCTCAAACTACCAGGTAGCAATGATTCTCTCAGACATCCCTCAAGTCACTCACCTGCTACTGTAGGCTCTCAGACTCGGACATAATGCTATGGAGATAGAACCGGCTACGGAATACTCGGTGTTATTTGGGTTCAAACTGGAAGGGAGGCAACAAAATGATGAGAAACCAACGACAATAAATCAGTGTCCTTGTCCTTGTCCTTGTCATTGTCATTGTCATTGTCATCGCTCTCACAGTCGGGCGGACGAAGCTATGGCGTCGGAGCCTCACCTCAGCATATTGCGGTCTGGTCCTCACCACTCCAGCCAGCCTACCCTTTACCACCCCTACTTCCCTTCTTGGCCCTGTTGTGTGTGCCTTCCCTTCCACGCTAACCTCCCCCGCCGCTTTGCCCATACCACTGCCAGCCCGCCGAACCCCGGGTCCTCGGGTTTTGCCAGTAGTTGTGGGCGGTTCGCGGGCATCCCGCCGAGCCTTGCGCTTGTCGCGGCAAACCAGGGACATTCCCCGTCCCACCCCAACCTCTCCTTTGCCCCGCCATCTGCCGCCGTAACAACCAGCTAACCGCCCGCCCGCCCGCCGACGTCAGACAAAAAGAAAAACAACCTGCCGCCCAAATCAAAACCAACCATTTCCGGAGAGCCGGGAGCAAGACGACCAAGTGGTAATGGGGCGTCACTTCGGCCGCGCTTACTGCCTAAGCGTGATTAGGGTTGGCTATAGCGTTTCCACAGGGGGGATCGGCATGCCCGGTACCCGGCTCGTTGGGGTGGCGACCTTTGTTCTCGACAGTTTCCAGGATCCACCATGTCCCACGTTGTTTAGGTGTTGAGGCGCTTCTCCCTGTGGAATATCAGGGAAAGGGACGTCCACTGAGTAGGGCTGACCCTAGGTCTCGGCCCCAGGAGATCTCAAATTATAGCGACGAAGACCAAGGGGCTAAGTCAATGAAGCAGAATGGACACGTGGGACTCGCCACCGGTCAGCTCTCCTTCGGGGTTTCAACGATACATTTGAACTATGGAAGGTGTTATCTGCTACCGGCCTTCTAGTTGAGTCCAGGGGGGGAGATTGTATGTGGTTGTCCCACTAACCGGTGCCTAACTTGGATGACTAAGTACTAAATAATTGCTTACTGTTAACTTTGGTGCTTCCTAGTTCATAGCTTTAGCTAGTGTGAGATTTGTTGCATTAATTCACGTATTTAATTGTGGACATCTCCAAATAAGGAAAATGAAGGGTCAACGAGATGGGGGATGCAAATGCCCAACCTCCTCCTCCTCCTCCACGGCCCCCCCCTCCCCCTCCTAACCTGACATTGGAGGCAGAGAAGCAGCGAATCAGGGGGATTCTCAATGCCTGCTACTCAGATGGGATCCTGCCCAAAAGGCTGTCAAAAAATACAGTGGAAATTGGAGAGGACCATGTCCAGGTAGTGGTCAATCCAGAGGTTCACCGTATTCAGGTGGAATGGCTCAGAGATCATGTCGTAACTATCTTGTTTGGTGACGAGGCAACCTCGCTACCTATAAACGTTAAAAAACGAATTGTTCGTACTTACGAGGATGGATGGGCGAACTATTGCTCGGTTGACGCCCCTCCTAAGCGAGGATTGTTCCATTACGAATGTCGGAATCTAGTAACGTATGTCTCTTGATCGAGTCAGATTGCTACCTTTATGTTACGGAAAAAACAGGATAAGATTGTACTTGATGGTAAGACGTATTTGGCCACCTTCCGCCCGTGGATTAATGATAATCAGTTACAGGAATGGAGGGGGGCCATGAGATTCCCCTTTTTCTAGATAAGATGCCTGCAGGTTCCAGTTTCGGTAATGCCACAGCTGGAATCTGCAGTCGAAGATGCCTTCGGTTCTGTTCTGAAATCCCATTCTCAGTTTAAAGAACTATGTAAACCGGAGCTATTAAATATTCGCTTCAACATCGTGCCTTCGACGAGGATGAGGTACAAACCTTGTCTGTTGATTGACTACTTGGAGGACGAATATGCAGAAATCGAAGTTATTTGTGCGGAAACACCTTGGTGTGAGACATGCCACCGTTACTTCCATGACTCCAAGGACCCTGCCTGTTCGTCGAGGCAAAAGAAAGGTCGCACACAGGGGCAAAACAAGCCCTCAGGAGTCAACCATTATGACAAAACCTCGGACCCTAATAAGAACCAGAAAAAGGACAAAGTCAATGGTAAAGGAAGAAACTTTGAGCAGGGTCGTAAAGGATACAGGCGCAAAGACAATGTTGATCAATCCAAGGGGAAGAAAAAGGATCACGAACCGGAGGGCTCTGACACAAGGGACAATAGGAATAACAAGGAGATGCCTGCCTGTCCGGAAAAATCCCACGGGATGGGTAAGGAACTGGCGATATGGAAAAAGGTTCCCACCCCCCCCCTGTGGGACAGAAGTGTATTCATCTGAATTCCCCCCCCCCCCCCCCCAACCCCTCTCCTCTGTCCAGGAAGAAAGTGCTCCCGGAAAGGATAAGACTTCGGGGACGGTACAGACCGGGGACGGAAGAGAACAAGGACAGAAAAATATTCTCTTAGAGGGGGAGGGGAATCCTCCTCAAGAAGTGACGGATATCGAAATGACGACCGAGGAGGAAAACACAGATGGTGACGAACGACAAGAGGAAAATGAAAAGGAGGAGGAAGAAGAGGAGGAAGAAGAGAAGGAGGAGGAGAACGAGGAGGAAGACGTGGAGGAAGAGGGGAGCAAGGAGGATGACGATGATGATGATGGGGAGCAGGAAGAAGAGGAGGAAGAGGAGGAGGAAGAAGAAGAAGGTGGGGCGGAGGAGGAAGAAGAAGAAGGTGGGGCGGAGGAGGAAGCGAGCGAAAAGGGCGTTGATGAAGGAAGTGAGGAGGAAGTGAGTGAAGGAAAGGATGTAGGAAATGTGGAAGGTACTGAGGAGGAGGAAGAGAAGGAGAAAGGAGATAATGAGGACGAAGAGGAGCAGAAGGGAGGAGATAAGGAAGAGTCGAGGAAGGAAACAGCGATACAATCAAAGGGAAAGAGGTTGAGTTAGTGTCCCGCTCATCTCCTAAGGCAAGAAGTACCTACATAACAGAAGAAGATCTTCAGCAACAGGCTGTATTAGACCTGAAGGCCCTTAAGGATGACGCCCGGAGGCCTGTAACGGGGAGCGATCCGGCAGAGAAGGGTCCCCACGCGCAGACGGTAAGGCCAAACTAATAAGATTCGAAGACTAGATACCCAAGGGAGTTTTCCAGAGGGAGTCAGATCAACCACCACCAGAAAAATTCTCAGTTTACAACAACAATTCCTTTTCCCCGGCCGAGGAAGAGCAGGCAGAGTATGATAAAGATAAATTCCCCCCCCCAAAATCCTTCGTCCTTGTCCATTCGGAAAAAGAAATTAATATAGGAGGAAGACAGACAAAGGAAGAGTCGGGACGGGGGTTCACAGAGTCCCACGAGGAAGGCGCAGGGTATGCCACAGAGATCCTCCCCTTTCACAAACTTAGCAGTTTCCAATTTCTGCAGGAACTTAGATCTGTAATGGCAAAGAGGGGCTCCCCAGCAAAGAAACTCAAAATGTACGACAGCTCCGGGGTAGGTCCCTCGGAACCTGGACCTGAGGATCCTTCCCCGAAGTACCGAGATGTATTGAAATATGAAGGGCGGAAAAGAACTCGCATCCAGAGCCACGCTAGGAGAGAACTCTCCCTAGCCGTGACAATGAAGACTCTCACTAAAGCAGATAGAGCAAAAGGGCCGATTAAACAGTACGTTATTCCATTAATTTCCTTTCATTCGTTCGTGAGATTTATGCTCTTAACATCAATTACGAACGACGATGGGTTGGAAATCCCATCAATACCAGTTCCAGCCCCCCCCTCGGAAAAGGAGGTGATTGAACTGGCGAAGCGCCATGTGCTTAACCACACGGGCTCAGTTGCTGTCTTCTCGTCCATTAAAGTTAATCGCTATCTCTCTCAAAAGCAACAACACCCCCCGGTGGTCTTCCACATGACACTTATGGGTATAAAAACCATCAGCGACACTTTCGATAAATGGTGTGACCTTCGAGTCCATTGGTTCCCGCTTCAGGATTTATTGACCAACAAAACAGAAACAGTTGAAAAACTGCTAATGCCAGCGGGCAGAGTAGGTTCGGTGATTGTGGACTGGATAAGGTACACCAATATCTTGGAACGTCTTGCTGACGATTGTTTAACTCAGAATCTTCTAACAGTCAGACAACCAGCAAAAGAGCCGAAGGGTTGCAAACGGAAAACGTCTACCGCAAATGCTCAGACCCGGATCCAAGATACCGGCGGAGGAGGACTTGATGGTAATACCGTCTACGCTACATTTGGCATCTTGGAATGTCCGTGGGTTAGGGGACACCTCAAAACGCTGTAAACGACCAAGGCTTCTAGACTGGATGCACTCAAATGATGTCCACATTATTAGCATCCAGGAAACAAAATTAAATCCTGGGAAGTTACAGCAGCTGAACAGATACTGGCAAGGCCCTCAAATCTGGGCCCCAGCAGAGGGAACCAGTGGAGGTGTGGATATATTAATAAACAAGGATCTGGACGTAAAAGTTCTTGATTCATATTCAGATTCGAGAGGGCAAATTGTATGGATCAAGTTTCAGTTGGGAGAGAAAGAATGGTCGGTTGCCTCTATTTATGCCCCTGTGGAACTAACGGAGCGAATTGTTTTCCTGGCTAACCTCCCCGCCTTTCTATCGGACACAAAAAAATATAGTGTTACTGGGTGACTGAAATATGATTTTAGTTCCAGACCTGGACTCACTTTCAGTCTTCCCCGCAAGACCCGATGCAGAGATGTTGACAACTCTAATTGATGCTCACTCGTTTTTTATGTTTATAGAACGCTTAACCCGGAATCCAACGGTTTTACGCGGTATGACCCTAAACCTTCCAAGAACACCCAGGCACCTCGTAGTCGCCCAGACCTGATCTTGGCTAGAGGCTTCACATGGGACAAATGTTTTTGGTGTGACATCACACAAGGTTCACTTTCCGACAATCTTCCAATATTGATGGATATAATTTTCCCGGATGTGATTAAAAGGGAGCATACTCTGTTCATGTTAAATGTGAATTTATTGAAAGATGAAGGGATAAGACAATGGATAAATGACCAGATGTCCCAATGGTCTGAGTCCCAAGACCTTTTTGACAATAAGGTCGAGTGGGTTGAAGTAGGTATTAACATAATTAGAGTGACACTCATGAATTTCTCAGGCATGAAGGCAGCCAATCGGTCCTGGAACGAAACACAGTTAAATAGGCAAATCCAACAAACGGAGAGCCTCATGGGCACCGATCCATTCTCTCACTTCTTTTGGTCGGAGAAAAGGAAAACAACTGTAATGGAATTGGAGAAGCTAGAAATCCTGAAACAAACAGAATGGTTGGAATGGTTAAAAATCTGGGGTAGTATAGGGTACGATCGAATGATGAAATTATCTTTTAGATCTTGAATCCTGAGTCAAGCTAAACCCTTGATAAGGGAGCTAAGACACCTATTTGCCATAGATCTCACTCCATCTTCGGACATAGAGACTATGTGTGTCAATGCCTACAATTATTTTAGAGATATCGTCACAACAAGGACACCCTTTGATTCACTAGACGCCGATCTTTCGTTGAGCTGCAGCTTCTGGAAAAGAACAACGAAGTATCTTCCAACAGCTACAGCTAAAGCATTGGAGAAACCATTCACAGTGGAACAACTTACCCGGACAGTTAAAAAGATGACCTTAGGTAAATCCCCGGTGCTAAGCATCTCCTTCCTTTCAACTTCCTGTTATCACCTCCTCCCCCCCGACACTCCTGTCCTACTCAGACCTTCCTCCTTTTTTTTTTTGCTATGCTGCTTCTCTCCAATTTCAACGCATAACCTGTGCGGACCAAGACTCTCGGGTTGTAAATGATCACTCACTTTTATGTTGAGGTCACCTATATTTCAAGATTGGCTAACACATATGCTCTCGCCGTGATTTGCACGATTTTACGTGTTGACTTTGCATTTGTGTCAGACTCATGCTGAGTCCATTTTGCACAAAAATCTCACCTACTTCCTCCCAATTGTGCAAGATCGGGAGTTGCACGGTTTTACCTCGTCCCTCCTCGCTACCAGGTAGTTAAGTGTTGTGGAACATACGTATTATGCTCCGACTGCGACTAACGAACGGTTCCTTGATAACACAAACAGTAAAACCACAGCAGAACTAACATGTTGGCAATTTAATCGACGAGCGAGAAATGTCCTTCCTTCTCGGCCATCTAAATGAATGGAAATGGGCGTCGTCGAAGGATAAGTCAAATCAGCAGGATCAAGGAGAAACTAGGAAGAGGGAAGCAGATCCATACATATCAGAGAGAGAGAGAGAGAGAGAGAGAGAGAGAGAGAGAGAGAGAGAGAGAGAGAGAGAGAGAGAGAGAGAGAGAGAGAG